GAGTCATTACCTCTAATTGATTTTTGTCAGCTGCTCTCCCTTCCAAGACCCACCTAAGAAAGCCAGTACCACACAAAACTAGATAGATGTAGCCAAACAAAATTCACACAAGAAAGTGTTGTACAGTCAGGCAGATGCCTGTGTCCTCTGATCTACACAGTAGCTCCCCAGTGCAAAAATCTTTCAACAAAGCTTTCGGCTCATTTAATTTTTCCACTCGGGGCTGTTTAATTAGGTTCTGTTAATGTACGGGAACCAATACACATCAAGGCATGAAGCACACTGTCATGAGCCAGACAAAGTCGATCTCCACCAGCTTGGATATTTGGGTTGGTGACCACTGTCCTTCTACCAAAGGATCTGAGGCTGACTATACAGACTGCTGCCAGGCTTCTGCCTTCTTTCAGTCAGGAAGCAAAATGAGGGTCCCAGTCACTGGTTCTTCTTCTGTGAAAAACACAGCTCCAGTTTCCTCCTGAATGGAGAAGTTGCCGGAGGCACTTCCCTTTGAGCACACAACAGGCAAAGTTGAACTTAGGCAAAGAAGAGTTTCTTTTATAGTCACAGGACAATGAGGAACCTTTTCTTTTTGTGAAGGAAGGTTTGGCTATGTAGCACTGAATGCTCACAAACTCTTCATGCCCCTGATTCAACCTTCTGAGTGCTGGAATTAATTACAGGTCTGCACCACCATGCTCCCACACAGAAGTCTTAACTGAGGCAGAGGGGCGTCATGTAGAGATACACATTATAGAGAGGCAGCAGGCCCAAAGAGAACCTTAGAGAGACCAGGCACCAGCAGGCAAGACTAACACCATTTTAGGCTGGACACTGTTTGAGAAGCTGCTGACTGAACCCAGTTCACAGGGGGAAAAGAAAAAAAGAAAAAAAGACAAACAGCTAAAAGTCGTTCCAGGATCCCCACATCCTGCTGAATCAGCCTGACAGTGAGGAAACAGACATCTTATCACACTCACCAGATATCCTAATAGGTCACCAGATGCTCTAATGGAAATTTCCAAATGCTTACTTAACCCCAGGGCCAATGGATACAGGAAGCACACTCCCAAGGCCTGCACTCCCCTAGCTTGTGGTTTTCCCTTTACAAGCTCACTTCCCTGCTGGTTCCAGGCATTTCTCTCACTCACTGCATGGGAGTGTTGCTGGGAGGCCCCCCCCCCAACTCAAGTTTGCTTTTTGTTTTGTTTTGTTTTGTTTTGTTTTTTTATTTTTTATAAATTTGAATTACAAACAAGATTGAATTACATGACAATCCCAGTTCCCATCAAGTTTGTTTTTTTAATAAACCCCTGTATGTGGTGGTCGTGTTCGGGGCATCCCATGTCCTGGGCTTAATAACTTCATTATTGTCTAGTCCTGTTCTGAGCCTTCCTTCTTTTATTTCTTTCATGTGTGTGTGTGTGTGTGTGTGCGCGCGCGCGCACATGCGAGAACTGCAGGTACATTCACATATGTGTGTGAAGACCAGAAGACAACCTCTATTATCTTTCCTCAGGAATACAGTCCACATGGTAGGTTGGTTTGTTTGTTTGTTTGTTTGTTTGTTTGTTTGTTTGTTTCTCTTTTGTTTTTAACACAAAGGCTCAACATCATAGCTCAGGCTGGTCTTGAACTCATGATCCTCCTGCATCAGTCTCCCAAGTTATGTAATTATAGGCATCTGTCACCTGGCTCTTTCTTAATCTTTCGTGTCAGAAATCTCTAGAAAAACCAGTGGCCACTTTAGATTGCCTGCATCCACAGAGATTTGCACCCATGTATCTTAGCCTAATATTCCCCTATTTGTTCAGGAGCTTTGTGGACATATCACAATCCTGAATGTCCCAGTGCTCCGGAGACTAAGCACTTCTAATGTTTGAAAGCACATGTGAGCTTCAACACCCATGATTAGCAGTCTCTCGGGGTTGGGAGATCCTATCCCTGAACTCCGAGGTAATGGTGCATTTCAATATAGCATAAGTTGAATCCCCTTGTGAACTAATTATCCCTGGGAAACAGGAACACTTTTCTGGGTGGCTGTGGACAGAAATGCCAAACTTTTCAGGTGGCATATCTCATAGTTTTCAGAAAGGAAAATACCAAAGTCAGAAATGAAGGGGAGCCTTAAAAAGTGACAGCCCAGAGATGGTCAGGATGGCTGCCCATTGCTGGCATAACAGTAGTACTCATTTGAATTCTGCATTTCGTAGATGTTTTCCTCGATGGTATAGATGTTTTCCTCAGATCGATTCCTGCCTGCTCCTGCATTCGCTATCCCCACTGGAGGGAGGTTGGCCAGTGTGATGAGACTGTAAAAATGAAATGCTGCAGTTGATAGAAGGATGACCAGAATGACCATAGAATAGATATCAGAGAATAGAGTTAAAAAAGTAACCTTCACTGATGACAACAGCCAATTGATACTCATGACCCTTCACTGGATGCTCCCTGAAGGAAACCCTGGCAGTAATGTGGGGGACAATTAAGGACATGTAACTACTCTTAATTTTCTTAGGGATGTAAACCATAGATCCCTAGTCTTAGGAGTTGTAGGCTGAAGTGTTTGGAATGTGTCCAGACACCTGCAACATACTCAAAGTGGTTGAGAGAAACCCCAGAGCTTACTGAGAACTAGTCAACACAGGTGTTCCAAGTGTCAAATAGGAGTTGAAGGTGAAGTGCTTTCATGTCCCTTGCACTGTTGTTTCAACTCTCTGTGAGCTCCAACAGTTTGAAAAGGAAGAAGAAGGTGTGAATGTGTTAGAAACACACTCAGACTGGGGTTGGAATTCTGTGTTTCTTCCCAAAATCATGACTTGGGTGACCTCATGTGTTTGTTCATTTGTTGGTTTGTTTGTGGTTGGTTGGTTGCTCATTTGGGTGGGGTTTTAAAAAATGTTTTTAGTACTATTGTACAAAATATGGATTTCATGACAACTTTTTTATAGCTATATATATTATGTACCTTGCTCAGATTCACACAGCTCATCATCTCTTGTGCCCCTCCTCCTGTTCCCAAATAGTCTTCCATCATTTTCATGTTATGTATGTATATATATTTTAATTCAAGACAGTTACACACTGTCCTGTGCATCTGTAGACTACAACAGTGAACAAAATACATATATCCATAGATGTTACACTTTAGTAAACCTTGTGCCTCAGTTTCCTCAACTCTAGAAATGGGAATAGCAAGCGAGAGCCCTGCAGCAGGACTGCTGTCAGGAGCCCTGGAT